GAGATCCGTCATGGTATAGAGCTGCTCACTCGTGAACGCTGACGAGCTCGTCTAGCTAGTAGAAGTTGTTCATTAACGTTAGCGGCAGCATGTCAGCCTCAGAGCACATGTAAGGTTAGACCCAAATCCCAGATTACCGAGGTAAATCCCCGGTTAGTGTGAGTGCTCGCTAACGTGATATCAAGTTAACCAGCTCACAGTTGCCAACGACACATTTCATTACAACCCATGCTAGCTCCCGTGATGTTAGCTAACGCCGAGCCACCATTAAATTGCACAGAGATCGAGGCGAACTAAGGTTTTTCTGGACTGACAGATGGTCAAATAACGGAGGGGGTTTAGTGAACGTGTGTGTCTCTTAGCAAAAGTAGGATATCCAGTTGTAAAAACCACTGTGGCGTGGATCGCCAGCTCCACACCTCTAGCTAGCTAGCAAACTTGCTAAAAACTTTGACTGTGCGACTGTGACACGTAGCTCCTCGGCTAATGGGTAGCTCGGCTCACTCGAACAGAGCCTGCACACAACTTTCAGCTGCACCTTTAGCCAGCTAGTGGCGTTAAGCTAACAGCGGGAAGAAACGTAAAACCGTGGAATTAGCTCAGGCGCACACTTGAGTCTGCGGCCATTTAGTGCGTGCATTAGCCCCACGCCAGCAGCGAAAAGTACAAGTTGAACCGGAGCCTTAGCTAGCGAGCTAACGCTAGCATGCATTACAGTAGGTTCTKACTAGCTCGCTAAGTCCACGTAGGCATACAGCTGAGCAGGGGAGAAATGACACGGCGTCAGGGCCAGAACACACCGAGAGCTTCCCCGACTGGCTGAGCCCACAACAAGTCACCGCACCGCCAGGCTAACGAAATGCAGAAGTCACGACGAGAGAATAGAGTCGTGTTGAGGAGGAAACCGTAAAGTACTCACTTAGTTTATGTTCTCGTCTGCCCTGAAGGTGCAGGAGCTGAGATTAAATTCCACTGGCGAGAAGGTGGGATTGAAGGCTGACGGATATATACCAGAGCCGCCCACCAATCACATCCTCCGACGTCACGTCACAGAGTCCGGTTACAAATAACTTCTTTTCTTCTCCAACACTGACACACACTTGTGTAACTTCTCAACTTCCACCAGTCTCTGCCCGTGGAAGTCATGGAGCAGAGATATCCAATAATATGAATCCCAGGAACTGTAAAGTTGGACTAAAGTAAGGACAGACTGAGAATGATGCGTTTAACTCTAAAAAGATTGTTGTCATGATTTCTGGAACCAAAGAGGATCAGACCCCACATTTGCCATCATCCCTCTTTGCTTTACCAAGTCTTGAAGGTCCAGTGTGTGAGATTTAGATGAAAGGGAACTATTGGCAGAAATGTATTGTAGAATAATCCTTATGATGTTTTCACGAGTTCGTTTCATCTAAATTGTATGAATTGTAGTTTTCTTTACCCCAGAAAAGACCCTTTATATTTAAATACTTTATATTTACATGGAGGGGACCCTCTCTATGGAGGCCACCATGTTTTTTACATTAGTCCAGAGTGGACAATCTAAACACCTTTTGAGTTTTTATGATAATTAAAGGCTACCACAGGTTCTTTTTCATGTTTGGAAGGGGAGGGTGAGGTGATGGGTGTTCAGCAGCAACATGCAACTTCAACACTAGATATCACAAAATTCTACACACTGACCCTTTAAATGAAGTGAACACAGTTAAATATGAGGGTTACAGCATGAGGGGTGATTGATATGATGATGACGATGAGCAGTAGCTGTGGACTGTATGCAAACTTTCTATGTGTTCACATGATGTAAAAATAGTACTTTTTAGAGATGACTCCATTTTACACAGCACACTTGTGGTCATGCGAAACTGAAAAAGCTTCAGGTGGCATACAATGATGCATTTTTCTCAAACCTCCAAGATGGACAAGTGCAGGCCACATATTTGTGACTAGCAATCTCCCCACATTTTAAAGATCTACTGAGATTTTATTTGCATTATTTCATGTTTAGATTAAAGGTCCAGTGTGTAAGATTCAGGTGAAAGGAATCTATTGGCAGAAATTTAATGTAGAATAATCCTCATGATGTTTTAACGAGTTCATTTCATCTACACCGTATGAATTGTCGTTTTCTTTACCCCAGAAAAGACCCTTTATATTTAAATACTTTATATTTACATGGAGGGGACCCTCTCTACGGAGGCCGCCATGTTTTTTACATTAGTCCAGAGTGGACAATCTAAACACCGTTTGAGTTTTATGACAATTAAAGGCTTCCACAGTTTCTTTTCATGTTTAGAATGAGAGGGTGAGGTGAGGGGTGTTCAGCTGCAACATGAAACGTCAACACTAGATATCACAAAATTCTACACACTGTACCTTTGACTGACTCAAAAAACGTGATAATAATGGCCTTAACAGAAACAACAGTAAGTAACTGTTATAAGAAGCACCAGAGCCAATGTCTGTATGTGTTTTAATCCCTATGTACTTGTAAAGGGTGATTATGTACAGTGCTGTAATTTATTTATTTTTAGACTGATTTGGACCCACAAGTCTGAAATAAAATGAAAGAACAGTCTTTATATCCCCAAAAACAGGGAGGTGGTAAAATTTAGTTTTCTTCAGCAAGAGATAACAAAAGATGCCCCCATGCCAGTTCTCCTCCACTGCATCCATTTCAATCCATGCACACGTTTTGTTATGAATCACCAGAAATGACACACATGTGGCAAACGGTGTCGCAGTTTTCTTTGAGGACAAAACTAATTTGTGCAGAAATTCTTCCTCTCCAAAACAACTAAAGAGAGGCTACGCATTCTAAGATTCTGTTCATTCCTCTGCTGGTGGTTGCTGGACACACAGCAAAGGACTGCAGAGGCCATAGTTTACTATGAGTGGACTGCTGAGAAACAAAGAAGAGTAAATGTTGACAAAGTAATTTATCAGTGAATTTATGATTTAGCAGTTCAGCTCCTTTATTGCTGCTAATCCACATGGATTTCCTTCTTATAACATAGTAATTTCATTGTAAAAAAGTTTTGACATTTCACGATCATCTGCAGGGCCACTGCTGAGTCATTTGTGCATTAAATATAGAAATGATATAAGCCATGTCCCTGAGTTTTTTTAAATTGACACAATTTGTATTTGTTGTCCTGAAGCAGGAGGCTGATTGTGAAATTAAAAAAAACCTTGATCAGGATGCAAATACAAAAACCAATCATGACTCAGCTCTGTCTGCAAACAAATAAGATGCACAGGCCCCACCTTTGTATTGATCTTATTGATATATTGATCCGGTATAAAAGCTGTTAACTCTGTAAAACTGACTGTTTTAGTATATGTAACACAAAAGAGGGCTGTAACAAACACATCACTTCTTGTTTAGAAGAGGAGATGTTCATACGCCAACATTCTTTAGACTCCTGCAAACAATTTTTTTAAGTTAAATTAAATCTATTCGGCAAGAAGTTGCCAAGCTTGCCTCATCATCAGTTTGAGTCAGTTTGAAAGTTGATGAGATCCATGAGATGAGATTTAAAGCTCCAGAGAGAAACATAGTAAGGACCCAAGTGTAATGATATCCGTCTACATTACATGAATCACAAGTTTTATGACAGCAGCATTTAACAAAGTATATTAAAACATTGTGGATTGATTACATCTATTTATTCCTCAGAAGTGCAGCATGTTTGTTCCCTTAATATACAATTAGATACTTTGTCTGTGGCTTGTATTCATGGGATTTTCATTTATTGTGATGGAGAAAAATTCAAAGAAATTGTGTTGGCAAAGTCATCCCTAATTTCTCTTGAATCTGGCAGGGCTTATGTGGCCTATTAGAAAACACCTCAAATGGTTTAAGATGCTTCACTAATCTCCTTCACAACTGAGACAGCATGTGTCGTCTCTGAATCATGACGACCAGCAAGAGAGAGCCCAGCAAAGGCATTAATGAAAGATAACCAAGGTTATAGGGCGGCAACAGTACAGTGACACTGGATAGAAGAGGATTAACAAAATCCTCAACAGCAGATATATTCAACTAAATACTCTCCCATATCTCACTTATGATCACTTTTAAAAACTATTTTAGAGAGGTAGCCAGTTCTTATCATATGGTTATTATGATACATTTCATACAGCACAAGCTGCACACCTCAAAAACCAACCATTTTGATCTCATACAGTATCAGGAAAGAAAACTCCTCCTAATGCAAATCCAAAACACTGATCACATGTGGAATACAAGAAGATTATTTATTTCCAAATATTTTGCAGAACAAAATGACCTGAAATGATTATATATAATTTTGTGGCCTACATCTTTTTGCATTGTAACACACATCTATAAGGTTACTTATAGTCACATTTTCATAATACTTAAAAGCCTGCATAACAGCATATTTTCTTATGGTGAATATACCGGTTTGTTTTTCAAAATATATATTCAAACAAAACAAGGATCAGCTGTAAAAAAATAAGGTTCATGTTTTATATGCAACAAAATACAGACCTTTGCTACATGGTGGCACATATCAATCAGTTTCATTAGTGGTGATAAACAGATGGCTGATGAAAATACATGGACCTGATTTTCTATAGGGAATCAATATCAGCCTTGTTCCTTGTTCTGACAACACCAGTAGGGGGCGCTCCCCCGCAATAAGAGATCTCAGCTCTGTTTGACACTCATCATTCAAATGCTGCTGCTTAACAATGGACCCCAGTGAAAGTCCATCAAATTCATCATGACTCACTGAATCCAGCTCTGATGCAACGACAGACTTAGATAGATTGCAGGCATGGTGGCGCGACGCCTTATTATCTAAAGTGTTCATAGAAATATAGCACTCATTGTGTGTTCTTTGCAATGTTTCAGTGGGAATTACATTAAAGATTGTCTACGGGTCCACGTTTGGGCCAAACTCGAGTAAAATCAGCTTGATTTAAATCTTTGCAGGTGAGATCACACCAAGCTATTGGTGGGAAAAGACGCATTTCATTTCCTCTGGGTGTTCCGCGGACTGCACGCTGTTTTCCAAAGCCCTTTACACGGGGCCCAGCAGGAGCGCCACGACTCTACACCCAGTTCGCTCCTCATCCATCGGAGCTATTTAAAGTAAAGGAGGTAAATCTTCGCTCCTGCAGCCGACAATCCTCGCACACATTTCAGCCAATGGCAGGGGGCGCAGGGGACTGCCGCAGCCAATCACGGAGCAGTGCGAGCGCACTCCTGTTGACGACGCTCGACGACCATGGCCGGAGGAGCCGAGTCCTTCTCTGTCTCACTAACTTCTAGCGTTTAGTTTCCACGCGGGCGAAACGGTGAGTGAAAAACTCTTGTCGGTGCATTGTGTCATATTCACCAACTCTGCGACCGTGTGGGTTGTTTTTTTTTAACGGAGAGAAAAGTGTTCTCGGTGTTTGTCGTTGTTATAAGTTCGCTTCTCGTCGGTAAACCAGTATCCACACTTCGCCAGAAACTTCATGAGAGTTCTGCGCAGTCCGTGAATGTCGCTGCGTGTACTTCTCTTGCGGTGAATGTTGCAGAGTGCAACAAGTCCACTGACCCACTTAAGGCCCACAGGCAACGTATACGCGCATTTCTTGCGTTGTGCGTTTCCTGAGGTCGCCTCGTAGTTTAAAGTTTGCAACTGTTGTCGTTCTGAATGCAGCTCCGGTGGATTGAGGCTCTTGCTCTCAGATGTGTCGACTTGGTGTTTATTGAATGAGCCTCACATGTCCATAAACAGCCTCGCACAGCGGAGACATCCCTTTTCTGGGAAGAGAACTGTTAAATCCCCTGAAGTCACCCTGCAGCACTCAGCTGTGACTCATGACAAAACATGAGTTTATTTAAATCATTCCAGCCACAAATGTTTCTCCGCGTTTGACCTGCTTGTTTTCATTGTGTTTCTGTGTGTGTTTGCAGGAATGATTTGGGGGCAGCTGCTGTGAGCAGGGATGGGGGACATAGAAGGTTCATACCGGGCCCTGCAGACCCCCGGCACAAGGCTGGGGGCCCAGTTCAACGCCGGTATCAGCACCTTGGAGCCGGGCCAAAGCCTCAGTGCCAACATGGTCACTGCGAGCAAAAGCCATGGGCGAGGACCACAGATCCGTGTGCAGGCCCTGGACGAGTCTCAGGACTTCTTTGAAGTAGATGTAAGTGTCTCGAAGTGCTGCACAGCCTCATTGTGTTTTTCCCCTAAATCCTCTTTGATTTACACTGCTGCTAAGTCTGAGGTTTGATACACAGCAGGCTATATCTTACCTTGCAGTCCCAGGCTACCCTGTTTGCGTGTGGCTTGGATTGGTGACAGCTGCCACATGGCTTTGGCGCTAAAATCCCTTCCTCCTTAAGTCTTCTTATTCGGCCAACTTAGTGTAACTCACCAGGGCACTTTTGAAATATATCTTGGCTTTGATTTCTGCTCAACGCCTGTTTTCTTTCCTGTGTCCTAATGGTGACCAACATAAGACCATCCAGGCCTTAAATCTGAATACCTGAATATGCTCACATTAACCATTTGGTTAACCAGAGTTGTTGTGTAAGTTTGTGTCCTTGTGCATTGTTATTTAGTTTGAATTATTAAACTGTGAATTTCAAGGTGCATTGTTTTCAACTGAGCATGCAACGGACAAATTATACACGGCTGAGGTTTCCCTTCATGGATGTTGCATCTTAATAATCAGCACCAAGAAATTACAATTTCCTTGAACTTTTTTTTGGCAGGTTGCACATCTTTGACAAAATTGAAACTTTCTAGTTGTTGTCATTTCAGCGACAAAAGCAAGCAACGGCACAGTGCTAATACTGATGTCCGGTATTAAAATGTGGCTGTTTGAGTTTAAGTGAGAGGGTATATTTCGGTGTTAAATTGGTACTCTGAAATGTTGAAATCATGAGGTACAGATGAACATGAGTGAGTTTGTAGCCAAGAATTGTACCAGTTGTGACTAGAATGACACTCTGCAGACTGCATACCTCCACCAAGGCCCAACTGTCCCCCTTATGAAAAATTAAATAGATCTTTCATATCAGTTCATATCAGTTCCCAAACTTTTTTCATCAATATCCATGAATTATTCTCCAAGAAATTAAGAAAAATGTTAAAGAAATTAACATTTCTGGATCTGCCCTCTGATCTGGATGCACACCTACATTTAATCCTTGGTTGTTGACCCACCTACAACATTTCATGGAAATAGGTTGAGCAGTTTTTGTGTAATCCTGCTAACTATAAAACAAACGCAGATGAAAACATAACCTCGGAGGAGGAGGAGGTAATTACTTCATAGAGAAGTTGATCTCTTTTAAAGTTTGGTTTGATCAAATCTTGAGATTAGCACTGTAAGTGCTTCCCCACTCTACAGGAGTTATCAAGAAGGCAAATAGGAAGCAATAAGGAAGCCACTATCAGAGCAAGTTTCCTTCCTCTCTGTGGAGGGAATACATATAAAAGTAGAGTCTCCACTGTGACCAAACAACCACGCCGCTGTCTTTGGAGGCTTTGAATAGTACATTTGCAGTGTAATATAACTGAACCTGGCAGCTAAAAGTGTCAGAATAGCTTAATGTTTTTTCATTACTTCATACTAAATCCATGTGTAGCCACAACAATAATGGTTCAGGCAGAAGTGTAGGGGCACTGCTGAGGCAGACATTTCATAATCTTATGCACCATATGTTGTCTCCTAGTCTTAATCTAACTGAATGAGACAGACATGTTTTAATTTGGTCAGAAGTGGGTCTGTGCGCTGCTCCGTCTGGAGGTAAATAAACTTTTAAAGATTCATTTCGCCAGTTTTTGGATAATTTTGGTCTTTGTGTATTGAGAGTTGAATGTAAGCTCTGAACGTGTTGTTGATAGGAGATGGCAGACAGAAATACATGGCTGCAAAACTGGAATGGCAATCCTGTTGTCAAGCAGACTGCCGTTTGCCAAGAACAAGATGTCCTCTCAGAGGCTCCGTTGTTCACCGCTGCCCAGACATTGCTTAATATTTCTGTTCATTCAGTCTGAGGAGTCGTGGGCTTGGGGGTGGGGGGTGGGTATTTATGCCTGTATAAAGAATAGCTACAGAGTTGTACATCCGCTCCACTAGGTCAAATTTTCACATTAAAAGGAGCTGCCAGTGTGCTGTATCATTCTCAGTTTTGTGTCTGTTTCACCACATTCACAAAATGAATGAAACAGCGTAACCTTTCGTTATCTGGATTGGTAGTTTTCCCCTCTTGCGTACTGCATGCAAAAATAGATACAAAATTGCAGTGTTGAATTTTTGAAATGGTTGTGGCTGTCAAGCAACTGCCTCCCCTCATTGTGGCCCATTTGGTTGCTCAGCTGCCCAAATATCTTATCGGTTTGTGTACAGTTCTCATCACCTGCTATTTCCTACCTCTCCCACTGCACTGTGGTTAGTAAACCATAAATACCTGGATGTCAAAAGTGATTTTAAAATGCTTTTCTCTCTTAAACAGATGCAAGGCACACTTGATCTTGTCTTTCTCACACTTCATCAATCTGTGACGCAGTATAGATTTAATTTCTTGTGAAACATATGGTGTAATAGAGTAAATGGATTTATGGCCTTATAATGTCTTTAGCCTGGATCTACTACAGAGAAGTCAGACCCGAGCACATGTGCTTTGATGTGTTGGCCTCTATCTGCTGCAGGTACCCGGCATGGTCATCATCAGCAGACATTTGCTTGCATGGCTCTTAGCCATAGGCCCCTCCCACCAGCTAGCACAGGAGAAAGCTCAGCCTTGTGGGTTCTGGACGGGGAGGCTGGGCCGGGACGGCAGGAAAACACAAGCTTCTTTTATCCAGCACAGCCAACCCCTTTAGCTGGCCGTAACTTAGTGTTTGAAAACTCACAAAAAAAAGGGCTGAGTGTGGGAAGTGGAACCTAGCTGTGTGAAAATGCCGTACAGCCGGGGGTAATGGTGGGAGGGAATCTGGGCAGGCTTTGCTGTTAGTGTTAGCAAATAAGCACATAAATAGCAAGGTTGACAAGCAACTGGGTTTGGGGGAGACAGAGGGGACAGCCTCTGGTGTTAAAGGAGCAGTTCAGAGGGAGCCATCATGGCAGTGCAATGTTTGAGCAAGGGTGGTGGGGGAAGGGACTCACTCAGGAGAGAAGCCCTGTTAAAAGTTTGGTCCAGGAATTTCAACCAGTGGTCTGCTGCTGAAGTCACATTTTACTTTGTTAGAGTCAGATGATAACACTTGTGTATTTTATACGTATTGTTTTACTCCTGCTTTCGTCTTCTATCAGCTGTTACAGGGATGGATGGTTATGAGATGTAAACGGTATAAAAGAACAAATCACAGCAATATGTTAAAAGTATTTTTAATGTTGTTTTTTGAGCTGAAGTGGTAGCAGACTGTTGTAGTTTGAAACAGTAGAGAAATGTGATTATCTGTGTAATAGATGGAGTAGAACAAGGCATGTGTTTCAAGTGCATGCTCAAACATGGAGCACTCTTGGACTCTTTATTACAAGCACTACAGCTGAGCACTCAGCTCTCATCTGTACAAAGCACTCACACTGTCCCACTGTACTCTGAAGTAGCTCAACAGTCTAATGGCTGTGCTGAGAATGAGCTGTTTAACATCTTAAATAACCCCTTGCTCGGCACAATATGCATCTCTCCTGTTGTAACTGGACTAATTAGCGCCATCCACATTTCAATGTTTAATTTCTAACACCTATCCCATTTGCAATGTTTTCACCTGCCGCCCACTTTAGGGTTTCAACCGCCTAAAACAGATATTTGGAAACTTTTCTGGTAGCTGGGTCTCAATTCAGAGGCCTTCGATGGTTGCATTTGATGACTGATGCGATGAGGCTGACCTTATTCAAAGGCTCCCTTTAAGACAGCCGACAATTTTGTCCCTGTGCTTCCTGTTCACACTGGCACTGCCAAATGTATGTGAATGGTCACGTTAAAAGCACTTGGGGCGGCTGTGGCTCAGGACATAGAGCGGGTCGTTCTCCAACAAGAATGTTGTCGCCTCCCCATTCCTTATGCCCTCGGGCAAGATACTGAACCCCACAGCCCTTCTCATATGAGCTGAAAGTGCAGCCCATAGATTCTGAGTGTGAATGTTCAGCTGAACTGTAAAGTGCTGTAAGTGGTCATTAAAACCAGAAAAGTGCTGTAACAATACAGGCCATCTACCAGCTAGGGTTAAAAGCAACCTATCTCAAGTTTTTCTGTTTTGAGAGCCAAGCTTAGGCTGTAAAGTATCTGGGTTATACAGACTTGAACAGAAGGCACAGTAAAGCACGTAATCCTGATTGCCTCTATCTAGTGTTTATCTACCAATAAAGGTTCTGCCCAACTGTCATTAGGTGTGTCTAAAGTTAAGAGAGTGAAAAAGAAACCGGTGTCAGCCAAAAAATGAAAGTTGACATTTAGATAATAAAGTCATCAGAGAACCTGTTGAACTTTGAAATGTCTTCTCACAAACGTGTGAAATTGGCCACCGATGTGCCAAGATTTAACATGTATGTTAAATGCAGGAAATCTCCTGGTGGCAAAGTCCAAACAATGTATGTCCCACTGTGCCAAATTCAAGCCCCAACACACCCCTGCTGTGAGTAGGAGGTTCTGCTAGAGCTCACCTCCATTCATTGGAGGTTGGGGAGTATCAACTGCTGTTTGGTATACCGTGTATAACCTGTCACGCAAGATACACCCACCCAAGCCTTGAATCTGAACTGGGCTGGATGATATTGTGGTTACACCAATGTTTTCTTCTTCATTCTCCGTGAATGAGAAGGGCGGTCCTCCCACATAGGGGGCTGCTTTTTAAGCTCAGCACACACACACACACACA